AATATAACTAATAAAACATCGATCTAAACAAAATTCTAATGAAAATATCTCTGTTTATTAATTAAATAACATAATCTTATTGTTTTTTTTTTATCAACGGTATACAAATTAATATAGAAAAAAGAAATGAACACAAAGATTCTATACAAACTGTTCACACTGATATACTTTTTTTCCACACATATTTAAATAATAAATATTATTATATTAATTATGTATGTTGAATAAGAATATTCATCAATTAAGTATACATAAGTTCAGCTGCACCTGATAATGATTTAGGTAAATAAAGAAAATTATCTAAATAAGCAGCTAATTCTTCTACATTACATGAATGAGCTGTTGTTCGTCGTGTATCAACAATCGTACATGATAATTGAGATTGTGATGATAATGATGTTGTTGATGAATTATTTTCTTCTTTAGTAGCTGTTGATGGAATTGATTTTGTACGAAATAAAGTTATTGTTGTTGGTGATGAGTAACGACGACGAGATTTCGGAAGATTATATGTTGATAATGAACGAAATTGATCTAATAAAGTTGAAGATAGTGTAAAGCGCATTGAAATTGTTCGATTTGTTGAAGGTAACAATGAAAAATTTTCATGATCATTGAAATTTGTTGCTGGTGTATGTAAACGTTTAAGACGTGATGAACGAAATGCTTTTATTTGAGTTGATGGAACTGAATGAAATTTTGATGATGATGATGATGAAAAAGATTTTAAACCAAATGTATTTTCATCAATTAAATCGCATAATTGATCAATATCAGGTGCAGATGATAATTTAGTAGAATTTAAATTTTTTTTTCTTGTTTCAACTTTTTCATTTTGATCCATTTCAACATTGAGTTATGACAACAAAAAAAATTTTCTTTTTATATAATGTTTATCTGAAAAGAAGAATAGAAATATTCGAGATGATAAGGACATATATATACATATTGATAAATGATTCATCAGACTCGTGTGTCTGCATGTTTTTACGAAGAAAGGTTTTATATAGTACATCCATTATGGATTGACGACATAATTATTCGATATTTGTCTCTTTATAGATTTCAAGGAAAAAATATAATTTTTCGTCATAGAAAATTTTCGGTCTATAAATAAATAATTTATTATTTTTAATAGTTTAATTGATTCTATAAATAGAAAAAGATGTCGATAATAATCAAATTTTTTAACAAGTAATCTATGATTAGTTGGTGTTAACCAATCAGAATGAATGTCTGGTATCGAAATTAAATCAAACGTAAGAAAGATTTTTATATTTTTCAGAATGACGCATTTAATTGCAATATTAAAGTAATGAAAAGCAAAATGTCGTCACATAATCTTTTAATAGCATCTCTATTGAATAATTGTGTTATGTCAAAATGATGAGATTACGTCAATAGAATATTTTAAAAGATAAATTAATAGTAGAAAAAAGTCATAATATATATAAATCGGCTATAATTGTTATCTTTTTTTAAATAAAATAATATGCACAGTTTTTTATCTTGTTCATACATTGTATATCCTAGTCAAATTTTCTCTTTATTTAATGCATATTTCAGCAAAGTATCTAAAGATGTACAAAGAAAAGAATTTGAATGCCTATCATTTCATGTTACCTGTTAGTAGGAAGCTGCGAGTCGATTCAGATCAGGGACTCGATTGGGTATGGATACGGGTCTGGGTCTAATAAAAAAAATTCTTGGATCTGGATCGGGTCCGGATTTAACAAATTTTTTTCTCGGATCTGGGTCGGATCCGAGTCCAAAAAACCGTGGACCCGCAGCTCTCTAATTGTTAGACAATAGTATTAAATTCAAGAAAATCAAATAATTACTATTCTATACCAACATGTATATATATATTGATATAGCAAAGTCCTTTTTCGTCTGATATATAAATCACAATGAATTACAGATGTGTGTGTATATATATAGATGCTACCTCGATCGAAAAGAAAAAAAAATCGAATATGAGGTGGGTGTGGTGTTGATGATAATGAAAGAAGAAAACATAAAGCCAATGATATTATTACTGTTCATAGTAATTCAATTGTACTTTTATATCATATTATGACTAAAAAAGAACTTTTATTATAATTGTATTTTCTTCTATTCATATGTGAATATTTGTATGAACAAAAAATGAACTTTAGTCTGAATTCATCTCGATTATAGAAGGAATCTGGATTTTATCCTAACACAAATGTACTTCATATCAAACAGTCGCTCACAATGGGTGCCCGACTATTTTTAGCGTAATCCAAAATTAAGTAACTGAAGAAATATAAATCTTCAGCTGGAAACAAGGATATCTCATTGATAATAAGGATGAATTAGAAAAGCAATGTAATTAATCAAAAAGAGAATATATTTGATGGATTTAATAATCATCTTCAAAAAGAACATTGCAGTAGGCGATAATAAACATTAATGAACTATTTTCAGAAAAAAAAAATTTGTGTGCACTTCCTATCTGCTGGTAAAGTTCATCAGTCGAAGTATAATAATAAAAAGAATAATGCTGAGAAAATTCTCGATGGATGTCATGTCTTACGTTGTGCATAAATAAGGAAGCGAAGAATATTTATTTTAATAGTATAACTTTAAACTCAGTATTAATTCTTATTACAAGAGAAAATGGTTGATCTTGATACATCTCAAAGTCGTCTAATTATTTTTATTATTCTACTTATAATAATAATCCCATCAATAGTTTGTTCAATTTATATTTTTTATCATTTTATTCGATTTCATGAATTACGACAAAATGTTAATAATCATATTATTCTCGTTTTATTATTCATTAGTTTTATACAGGTAAGAAAAACAAATGATTCTCTTTTAAATAAATATAAAATTGTATAGGTCGTTGGTGAACTTCCGTTGACTCTTATTTTCTTACGAACTGGATCAGTTGCCATATTATCAGATAAATTTTGTCAATTTTGGATTGTTTTGAATTATACCGTTTGTACCGGAAGTCTATGGACTATGGCTATTGCAAGTATTGAACGATATTGGCTTGTATTTCATCGAACATTTTTTAATAAATATATAATTCTTTTACATTATATTCCAATAATATTATGTATTATTTATCCATTAATACTCTATACTTATCTAGTTACTATATATACATGTACAAATACATTTGATTATTCATATTGGACATGTGGTGGAGCATGTTATCTTTATGAAGTAGGATACTATTCATAAATTCTTGAGAAAATTTGAACTTTTTTTTAGCCTCTACTTGGTACACTAGATTGGGTAATTAATGGTTGTACAAATGTTCTTTTAAGTACTTCAGTAACATGGATAATTATCATTCGTGTTCTAATTCAAAAACAACGAGTCAATTCTCAACGAACTGTATGGCAACGTAGTCGAAGAATAATTATGCAGTTGATTGTTCTATCAGCACTTTATATGATTGTATGGTTACCTTGTGTTATTTGTTTTGTTATTACACTTTTTACACCAGTTCCATTTTTAACGGCACTTTATGGAGCTTATCTCAGTTATTATCAATATATAGCATGTCTTCTGTGTCCATTTGCTTGTCTTTTAGGCTCATCTGAAATACGACAAGTAATGAGAAATACACGGGTAGTTCAACCATCAATGCATATTATGCAACCAATAACACAACGTCTTCAACAACAGACATAAACTAACTTATTTAATGTATATATTTTTGTTATATGTAAATCATATAAAACAATAAAAATTATGAAATCAGTTACAAAAGTGCATAAATATTTCATTTATTAGATTATATGATATTACTATTATTAATTGATAGAGAAATACAACCAACAGTAGATATAGATCATGTAATACTAATAAAAGCCTGAGGTATATGTCAAATTTTTCTAATTACAATCCCCCAAGTCTTCTGTTTATGCTACATTTGAAAAGTAAAAGTAAAAGATACAAATTAGAATTTAATGCACTACTGTAGTACGTTTACCGTATCATTTTAAGACTAAACGAGTCGATATATAATAAATGTTATCTATTCTATAAAAATGACAGCATCTTTTTAAATATTTATATTAGGATATATTTCTCTAATTGAAAAAATCTATCTTCACTATACTTTCAAATATTACATACATCATTTCATAGTATTTTAAAAATCCATAGTTTACCTATAAACTTAAAATTAATGAAGCAAATCTATAATTATGTGTACTGTATTAAGAAAATCTAGTATTTTCTTTTTGCTGTTATTCATGAACAGAACAAATACTTTTTTGAAACTAAAAAATAAACTATAAGTATCTAGTTTATTGTTAATATTACGAATTAATTCACGGCATATACATTTGTTTTAAAATTTAACATGTACATGAAAAGCATTTTACTAAACAAGCAAATAGAAAAGGAAGAAAGAAAAAAACTATTTAATACATAGAAAATATTAATATTAGCTTTTCTAGTTAATTTTGACTCGATTGACTGATACTTTCTTCATCAAGTATCATTTGAGTATCTTGTGTTAAAACCGATATAGGTTCTTGTTTCGGTTGTTGATTTTTATTGTTTGTCGTTAAAATAGTAGTTTTATTAGTAACAAGTTGTGAAGTTGATACTGGTACTGGCATCCATTTATGAACACGCATTGATGTTTCATGAATAGTAACCCATCGTTTTTCCCATTTTCGAGCATTTTGTGATGTATATGAATGTTGAAGAGCTCGTTTAAGATCGGGATCATTAGAATGATGTATTCTACTACCATACACACCACCAGTACTATTATAACGAGTCGAAGAACCTGATGATGATGGCCCGCCACGGGCTTCACTTCGAAGACGGGGTGCAATCATTTAATCTACAAAAGTATTTAAATTAAATAAAATTCAATTTTTATTCAATTCTCAAAACGAAACACAACAATATCAAAACAAAAAAATGAGTCATTTATAAAACAATTTATTTGAATTTGATTTTGATCTAAACAAAATTTTCATAGCATATGCACATACATCTGTATTTTACTAGTTGACAAATATTATACATGAAAGGATATTTAACAGGAATAATTTGATACGAATTGAAACTTCTAATAAAATTGCTGTTACATTGTAGATGTCACTCTGATTAAGTTGAATATACTCATTTTTTTCATATGGTAATGTGAAAAATAATACCAACAATCAAAAGAGATTGTAATAATTTATCTATGTTGAAGCGGTTTTCAATCTGAAGGGTGTGGGTGTAACTGGATGTACTAACTTGAGTATCGATACCCACACCTTCATGATGATCTGTAAATTGTACCATGAATTATATTTTCGGTGTTCTCAATGAAGTTTCCTTCAGTCTGAAGTTGTAAATCATGATGAATAAAATATTTTCCATTTAAAATAATAGAGTCGGAATTCTATTTGATAATTGCTCTCATTTTATATAACTAAATATCTGTCAAGTAAATTTAAAACATCTTCAATAGAATAGTTTAATTAAATTAATGTTGTTTCTTTAATTTATTCGATACAAAACAGATGAGATTTGTATAATTTTATTTTTGAATAGATTCTCGAAAGTAAAACAGAACATTGTATGTTGAATACTACTTTATTAATTTAATTAGATCATGTGTTGCTAACATATCGATTTATATATTGCAGTTTTGTTTTAATATTTTCTTTGTCTCGTACGAGGCTTCGTTCGAGAATATAAGAAAAAAATTCAATTCCATGTATAATGTATTTTGCATTTTTTGACATCGTTTTATTTCGCGATTACTTTTTGAGGAAATCCTTTTTCCTTCTGTATTTATTACAGAGAACATTCTCGTAAAAAATTAGAAACGTATGTGTGCTACCTTATTAGTCGGCTATATCCATTAAGTTTTATTTACACGCGCATGGATCACTAAAAACTAGAATTCAATCAAGAATAAGCGATCGAAAAATTTATTTATTGAATATTCTTGTTAGTTTCTTCTTTTACAATCTCAATACCTTTTTTCACATCTTTTATAGAGGAATGAGTTGGTGGTAATATACGTTGAAATATGTCGAGAGCATGCTCTAAATATGACAGCGCTTTAGAATAGTCTCTCATATTGTAATATACATTGCCGATGTTGTTGTATGAGGTAGCTAATGAAAGATGATTTGACGGAAGAGTTTCTTGACAGATTTCAAGGTATTTTTCGTAAAATGAAAGTGCTTTCGAGTATTCTTCCATCTTTCTATACACAGTGCCAATGTTCTTGTATAAATTAGCCAAATTAGGATGATTTGAAGGAATAGTTACTAGAAAGATTTCATGTGCTTTCTCATAAAATGAAAGTGCTTTCGAGTACTCTCCTATATTGTCATATACAGTACCAATATTGCTATATAAACTAGCTAATGAAGGATGATTTGATGGAAGGGTTATTGAAAAGATTTCATATGCTTTTTCATAAAATGAAAGTGCTTTTGAATATTCTGCCATTTGATGATACACCAAACCGATGTTGTTGTATGAAGTAGCCAAATCAGGATGATTGGAATGAAGAGTTTCGTGACGAATTTTAAGCGCTTTCTCGTGAAATAAAAGTGCTTTCGAATCCTCTCCCATTTGATGATACACCATACCGATGTTATTGTATAAAGTAGCCAAATTAGGATGATTTGAAGGAAGACTTTTTTGTAGAATTTCAATTGCTTTCTCATGAAATAAAAGTGCTTTTGTATACTCTCTCATTCGGTGATACACATTACCGATGTTGCTATATAAAGTAGCCAATGAAGGATGATTTGAAGGAAGAGTTATTAGAAACATTTCAAGTGCTTTT